GTTCTCTGCATGTCTACTGAGTTGACAGCAAATTCAGTGCCTTAGGCCCCAATGAAAACGAAAGAACACAACTATGGCCCTCTCTCAATCTGAGAGAAATCAAGGCTTGCATTCATAGAGACCTGAACCACTACGCCTGTGATGGTGAACCTATGGCATGCGTGTCATAGCTGGCACACAGAGACCTCTCTGTGGGCACACAAGCCATAAGTCACTATAGAGAAATACTTTACCCATCCTCCGATCCTGGATTTCGGCACTCCCCTCTGCTGGTGCAGTGGTCCAGTGGAGGGGTGCAATGGTGACCATTACCAATCTAGCCCATGCAAAAAAAACAACCAAGCATTTAACCCTTGCAGTGCAGGAGCAGTTGCTTTTTCTAAATTAAAACCTCAGCATTCGGGTTTTAATTGCAGTATTGGCACTTTGAAATAAATAAGTTGTTTTTGTGTTGCAGTTTAGGCACTCGGGCTCAAAAAGGTTCACCATCAGTGCCCTACTCTAAGGAGGCTACCTTTAATGGTGTAAGATGGCTACATTTCATGGGTCATGGAATGCGAAGACAGCCTCACCTAAAGATCTCTGGCCTCCTGTAAAGGTGCATCCAAGGGAAGATTACCTGCTAGGTGTTAGGATTCCCAAGTTATTTTGTTTACTTTCACTTGTAGCTCCTGGTAACATAGACGTTTCTTCCATTCATTTTATCTTCCAGTTTGGCTCCTCCTTATCCTTCTTTTTCTTCCTGGCTCATTCTTACTCCGTTAGGACAGCAATAGGGAATGCGTGGTCCTCACAGAGATGGATTTTGTTTTTTAAACAACAGAACCTGGCGTTTTCCAGACAATTATGGATTTCTAATTTGTTGCAAATTGTCTGGGTTGTAGATGCACAAACGTGAGATGGATCCAGTTTTGTTTCACTGGCTGAAACGTCCTTAAATTTCCACTCAGAATTCTTTGGCTGATAGGAAGAAGGAAAGGAGTAAGAACTGACACCCTCCCAGTTCTACTCCTCTCCCCCAAAATTGGTTCACAATCCCCATGTAATGTTTCAAGGCAGAAAATTTGGGAAGTGCAAGTGCAGTCCAGGTAAAAGCACTGAGCAGTTGTAAACAGAACTTCCCATGTAAAGAATAGAAGACAGAGCCAAGTACCCACTCTGTAAATCACTTACATTCCAAGGGGAAAACTCAAGCAGCGAGTAAACAGAAGCAGTTGTAAACAAGTCAGGTGTTTTTTGTCCTTCATGTCAAACTCCTCTCTTCTGCAGTTGGCTTCACTGTGGGTTAAACTGCTGAGCAACTGGGCTCTCGATCAAAAGGTTGGCAGTTTGAATCCGCACAACGAGGTGAGCTCCTGTTGCTTGTTGCAGCTCCTCTCAACCTAGCAGTTTGAAAGCATGATGCAAGTAAATGAATAGGTACCACTTAAGTGGGAAGGTGTAGCGGAACCGCCACGTCATGCCTGTCCATCATTGGAAGCTCAAGGGGAGGAGGCAATGAGAAGACAGGAGGGGGCGGAACAAAAAGGACAGTTAGACAGTTAGAGAGACCGTTAGAGAGGAGAGTTGGAGAAAAGAGGTTGCTGATAGGGAATTGAAGAGTTAGGCGATTGTATTGAAAGTTAAGAAAGAATGCTAGAGAGAATAGGGAAGAGTTTAAAAGTATAGAGAATATACATATAGACAAAGAATATTATAACAGTGAATAAAAACAAACAAACCCAATGTGAAAGCAAATGATATTTAATGAATAAGCCTAAGCATCTGTGGTTTACTGCTGTGATTTGCATCACATTTATAAAATCAATAAATCTGTTGAATTGGCAGCATGTATCTAAGATCTATTTGGTATTAAAGGAATAATACCTGGTGGCAGCGTGAAGTGAGGACATACATCCAGAGGGTAGACTTGTGTTTAAGGCAAAATAAACAAAGGACACGGGGTGTATGTCACAGAAGGTAACAGCATTCCTTGTCTAGTCATGTCGCCCACATGACCACAAACTACAGACAAATGCCGACTCTTCAGCTTACAAACAGGGATGAACACCAGCTCCTAGAGTTGGACATGACAGGACTTACTGTAATTGTCAAGGGGAACCTCTACCTTTATCTACTGCAGGTAGTTGACTTATGCTGACTTGACCTCAGTTATGTTCTTTGTTCCAACCACCCTGATTTGGCAGCATTCTCTGGGACGGAGGGAATTATCTGTCAAGCTATTATCTCCTGAAGGGATTGGTCTTCCCTGGCAAGGGAAGGCTCTGCCTCTATTCCTTGTCCCTCTGGGAGGGGGCTGTCAGGTCTTCGAAGTCCTTCCTCTGTTCTGATTTCCTCCTGTTGAAGTACGTTGTCCTCATCACCATTCTCCCAAAAAGGCTCAGCCATGTAGTGCATGCTCCCGTCTTTCAGAGCAAATTTTCAGAAGACAAAGGAGCTCTACGGTCCACACATGGCTTAAGCAGGAACAGTCAGTTTTTCCTTTTTTAGAAATATAGAGACAAGTCAGATGAAATGTCTTTGGCTATTTTCTGAAATGGAATATCCACTCCAAGTAACAAGACAAGGACTCAGGAGCCCTGCCAACTCCATGCCAACTCAGCCATGGAAACTCAGTAGGGTGTGGACTTGGTAAAACCACTCCTTAAATATCTCACTGTTAGGGCTGCTATAGGAGTCAGTTCCAAACTGTTGGCACAAAGCATACAATTTTATGAAATACTAATATTTTACCTTTAATTTTATACTAAGATTGATCATTTGCAGAAGTGGCTTGTATTCTTATTGGAACAGCATCAGCAGTAACACTGACAAGTAACTAAAGTCAATAAACAGGATGCAAAATAAATAATTTCAAGTTAGCTTTTAACTAGAGTGGAGTTTGCAGCATTCAGAGAAACCACATAAGAAACAAAACCTTGAAGGACAAATTATGCACTGCATTTTTATTTGAGAAGCATCTCACCTAGAAACAAAGAATGTTTAACTTTAGTTGAGAAAAGTGCATATTTTTTCTTAACCTTGTAACTTAACCTTGCAACACTATCTTTAGTTACAGCAGAATTATCAGTTCTTAATTACTAATTACTTTCTAATTAGTTATACCTCCAGATTGCATCTTTTACCTTTTTTATTTTTCTCCCCTCTGAGTCTATCTTTAAGTGAGATTCTTTCTCTGAAAGAATTACTATTACCAAATAAACATTTCTGCAGCTTTTAAGAAACCAAGTGAGCTACTGGCTATATTTCATTGTATTTTGATGGATCATGCAGTTCAGCTAAATTTAATCTAGAATAAAAACAGCATCATGTTCCTGAAGGAAAAATTGTGGTTCTGTTTTATGGTTTTAAAATGTGTTTTGTGTTAATTTCTAGCACTTAAGCATTCAAGGATATTTATTCATTTATTTACAAAAACTTAAGTTCCTTTGAAGAGATTATGTTTATTCCCTTGTAAGGTATCAAAAATTAAGGCACAAAAAGTTTACATGATTTGTTTATAACTGCATTGCCAGAGTCAATTGAACAAAGGAGTCTTACTAGTTTACTCTAAAAATCACGTGAAATATTTGCATTAAGTGCATTAGTTTGTGTTCACATAAAGAAAGTTGTGCATATTCAGATAGTTGCTGTACAGTGAGGTAGACAACGTCTACGTTATTGATATTGCTGCCCCACTGTGACCCACATTATCAAAATATGTTAAGAAACTGGAAAATTGCATTTAAACAAGCAACTGAATTTCAGTGATACCCTTGTTATAAAGGCTTAAATAAATGGTTATTGGCCGTAGGTTCTGCTGTTATTTAGGACCCTGCACATTGGTGTAGCCTCAGGAACTGGACAATTCTGATAAACAGTTACACAACAAAACATATGTCACCCCATGAATGTCATTAACAAATTGAAGGCAGTAAAGTATGTCAACTGCTAGAGGCCAAGCCTAGTTGGCTGAGTAGGCCCAATATACACACACATAGATATGCATTTACTTCATTAGAAGGGACAGCTATGAGTGTGCAGAAATATGTACAGAACACATGTTCCACTGAATATATGTGCGGGAGCTCGTATACATTGTACATCAGAGTGCTCTGGGTAGGAGTAAGGAACAGAAGAAAGAATTGCAGGTGAAATTACTTTTGGTTCTCACTGAATTAGTGTAGACAGGGCATATTATAATACTTATCCTTAATTCTAGCTGAGATTAGATACTCTGTGCCCCATTCCCCTTGTGTAAATTCCCACCAATAACACAGGTGAGCATTGCATTCAGTCTTGATTGACAAGATACTGAGGTAGTCTGCAAGGCTTCATTTCTATAGTATGTTCAACTCTAATACTTGTCACTGGTGGAGACAATTAATTTAAACCCATTGTTCAACTGCAGTGGGTTTACTTCAGATCTACTTTCAACCAGGAAAAAAAGTGGTAACCAAACATGCAAATTATTGGGCATGAAGAGGGAAAAACAAATGGGCATCAAAAGAAATATCCGAGGAGTGATTTGCATAAGCACTGTGCAACTTTCACAAGGACTTGAAGTCTGATGTGTACTTAACTAGTGCTCGACTGTAGCATGTTTTAGGTGTAATGATCTTGGTTCAACAATTTAGTTGTCAGACTGAAAATGAACTTTTTACGCTCACAACTAGAACTGCAGTGAGAAACTAAGCCATATTTTCTGAATGCTGACATAACAGGGGACCCAAGTTTAAGAAAGAGAACGAAAGGAGAGAAGGAAACACTCAGCTTCTATGCAAGCTGCTAAACCATAGTTTACTAAACTGTTACAGTTGAGCTGAATCTATGTGCAGTTGGATCTGGATCATCAAGGCATGTGCAGACAAAGCTTAACATTAAACACAGAAACAAAGTCAAGCTTCTTAAAAATAAATCCTGGCATTTTCCAGGATGGCCTATACAGGTACATTCAGGGACTGAACTTTATTTTTTTCCCTTCAAAATTACACATGTGCTTAAGAAAGTCTGTCAGGCTGCAAATCGAAATAAAAGTGCTGGAAATAAAAAGACAAGTTTTCCCCAATTAACGCAAACTCAGTGGATTGATTTATGCAGCCCACTAAGATTATTAACATGTCAAGTATTTTAGTTGGGTCATGCCTATAACATCTCAATATTAATTGGAATTTAGGCAAAGTCAATACTGGCAGGTTAAGAAACTACCGTCTCAATGTAGAGTTAAATTAATAAAGCTGTTTCAAAAAAGTCAGCTACAATATAGCCAATCATCAGTGTTAAAGGCAAAGGTAAATGGATAATAAAAGAAATGAGACACCGATAGCATGAAAGAGCTCATATCATTCTTGATAAATACTTAAGAACCCAAATCAACAAATATTTAGAAAGTCTGTCTCTCAATGTGATGTTCCCCTGATGACTGGTCTACAGTTAAAGCCTGCTGAGGTGGTTCGGAGACATGTGCAGTTTGGGACTGTACTTTGCTAATTTGAGGAGGTAATACTGTTTCTTGGCTGATGCGAAACTGATGGCTAGTTTCTTGTGCCACTTGCAGGTGCTGGGTTGGATGTGATGTCCCTGTTTCTATCTGAAGCACTTCGGCTGGACTTGGACTAGCATGGAGGTGTTCCAAAGCTTCTTTGGAAAGGGTGATGACGTGCATTTGCTCAGCCTGGGCAGGCTCCATCTGGCTGCTCACAATGTTGATGTTATCCGTCTGGTCTGTCAGTTCTGGCTGGGACGAAAGAAGCAAGTTCTGCAGCTGTTGTGGTGGCTGAGTGAGAAGGGTCAGACTGCCTGCATGATCTGCCATCACGTTTTGGGAACCATCAGCAGTGACAACACTGATCCCTTGGTTATGGCTGGGCACAAAATTTATATTGTGCACTGAATCGGTAACTAGCAGCTGGATCTCTTGCGCCCCAGAGGTAGAGAGCTGATAGTGCTGCAGCTGCACAATGTTCCTTATTTCCTCTGTACCGCTGCTGGTGGGAACGCTATTTGCTTCCTGTAGCTGTTTTTCTTTTATATGAATCTTTAAATGTGATTTCAAATTGTCTAAGCGTGAAAACTGCACACAGCACTCGGAACAAGAGAAGGGCTTTTTGCCAGTGTGTAAGATACAATGTCTCCTCTTGGCACTGGAATCAGAAAAGGATTTCCCACAAATGCTGCATGAATATGGCTTTTCTCCTCTGCAAGACAAGACATATTTGGGATTCATCAGATACATGAATACTTTTTAGGAGAATTTTAGGATACAGCTCTTTAAAAAAAAGGTAAATAGCACAGGCAAAAACTGCTTCACTGAAACTGGATGCCACATGGCTGCTTTTTCTGTATCACATTTTTACTGCAACTACTTTATATATTAGTTTTAACTCAGTGTTGGCCAATTTTTTACCAATGTAGTATAAGAGTGTCATTTCAGCACATGCGGCAGTTTTGTCTCTGTTTCATGGAGTTGGGAATTGGCAAGCGGGCAGAAACACAGCAAGGGCTAATTAGCACTCTTGTTTACATCCAGGTATGCCAAAAATCCCCAAGACCCATGTCTGTCCATATTCACACACATTCTGCTAAAATGAGAAGCATACATAAATGTTAAAGGAGTACCATAAAGGAGATCTATACCTGTATATACCGGCAGAACAAGTTAAACGTATTAAATTGGTCATAACTGAACGGAGGTGGTACGTACTGACAGAAACAGCTAAGTCAGCACAGGGCAATCTCCTCTCCCCACCACGGTTCCCAGTGCCACTCCAAAATCTGCTCCTGAGACCCTGGGAAAATCCGAGGATATGGTTTGGTGATGGAGCCAAAGAATATGGGCAAAGGGGAAAATGTTCTGCTACCCTCCTCCAATAATATTGGTTCTTGGTCGTTGACTCTGCTGTTATTTAGGAGCCTGCACATAGCCTTAGGAACTGGAGAGTTCTGAAGATAGTAAGATAGTTATACAACAAAATATACCATGTTTCCCCGAAAAATTATATTAATCTTTGCTCCAAAAAAATGCAGTAGGGCTTATTTTCAGGGGATGTTTTGTTTTCATGTGCAACAATCTACATTTATTCCGATACAGTCATGTCATCTTCTGCTTGCGGCACAATGGTGGAGGATGGGGTTTCACTTAACTAGGGCTTATTTTTGGGGTAGGGCTTATATTGCAAGCATCCTGAAAAATCATACTAGGACTTATTTTCAGGTTAGGTCTTATTTTCGGGGAAACAGGGTATGTCACCCGATGAATGTCATGAACAGTCTGAAGGCAGTAAAGTGTGTCGACTGCTAGAGGCCAAGCCTGGTTGGCTGACTACGCCTGGGTTTCCCAAGGCTGTCCCAAAAGTGACTCTGAAACACAGAATCATAGAATAAATGAGTTGGAAGGGGCCTATAAGGCCACCAAGTCCAGCCTTTTGGCCTTTCCCTTCTTGAGCCCAGCTGGAAAACCAGAAAGAAAAGCATTACCACAGCACAAGAGCACAAAGAAAAACTCCATTCCTTGTTTCTGTGCATTAATCAAGGTTCTTTCTCCATCTTTAGCTTCCCAGTCTTCTAAGACTGGGCTTACAAATGCTTTATGAGTGGCCAAGTCGTTATGCTGATCTTTATTTTGCCTCACACAATGCAATTCTCTGAGTTCCTTTTGATGAGAACATAACAAATAAACTGTTGAACAGCCCCAATTCAGATAATCCTTGAAACTTGATAATAGCTGTGATACCAAGTGTTATTTTTTCCTCAGAAACCTCTTCCAAGAAGGTAAGTAACACCTTCTCTAGGCACTGTTACATCTAAAGTGGGAGAGAACGTGCAGTGTCACTGAAGGGATTACTTAACTCATACATCTTCTGACCATATGATGATTAATGTGACTGCACTTTGGAAACAGTCTGTGAGAAAGGCAATTGTACAATTTGTGCTGACTGAGTCAGGCTGCAGCCTGTAACTGTGTTTAAAAGAATAGCATACCTGTGGATTCTGATGTGAGTCTGAAGAGAGCTTTTTGCCGTGAAAGACTTGCCACAGATTTCACAAGTAAATGGCCTTTCACCTGCCAAAAACATTCATTATTACAACAGCATGCAACAATAACCCTAGCATATAAGGAGAAAATATAACTATTTAAAACTGTAGACATTTGATTAGTCTCTTGCTAATGAAACAACAGTGGCTTCATCCCAGATTTTGCCTTGTGCTCAGAGTGGGCACCTTGACGTATGGCAGCAGTTTACAAACATATTAGGACACATACTTTTGTAGAACTGATACTATAGTTACAGACAGAAAACAGGAGGGGCCAACCAAAGCAATATGAAAGGGGGACTTCTTTATGACTGAGAGGACCACTGTTAGAGTTTCAGAGATCAATGCAAATGACAGTCATGTTACCTGTATGTGTTCTTAAATGTTTCTTCAACTGAGCTGCATCCATGAATTTGCGATGGCACAGGATACATTCTGGCAATGAATGGCCTTTATACAAAAAGCAGAAGTATATATTTATTTTATTTAAAATCTGTATCTTGCCCATGAGCCCAAAAAAGAGTATCCAAACAGATCACCAAAAGTTAAAGCATAAAGACACATGTTTAATCCTCATCCAGGTAATACTCACAGCAAGTGACTTCTGGGGTATTTTTTGACCCCATGGACTTTCAGTTTTATTGCCGGGTATGAAAATACTCCATGTCCACTGGAGTTTTTACAACCAGTGGTATTCCATAATACTTAAAACAACCAGATCTAGAAAACACACATCTACATGAACAGCAAGCTTTGTTTTGAGCAGCTGACAGTTTTACACTGGTAAATAATAATAAATAATAATTTTATATATATTTTAATTGTATTTTAATTGTTACATATCTTTATTGTATTTTAAATGCTGTAAGCCGCCCAGAGACCTTTGGATAGTGTGGACGGCATATAAATTAAATTCCATAATACTTAAAACAACCAGATCTAGAAAACACACATCTGCATGAACAGCAAACTTTAGTTTGAGCAGCTGACAGTTTTATACTGGTAAAAAGTGTAAAGCAATGCATTTTTGTGCCTTAAAAATATTACTACTGTTATTTGCCAGTAGTAGTTTTCAGTACTGTTCATTTCCCAGTAGTAGTATCCCAGAAGGGGTAGTTTTCATCTGACCACACACAACAAAACAGTGTTCCAATGCATTATACTTTGGGGGATTAAAAAGTGACCAAAAAACCCCCCACAAATACACTGTACTTTGTTGAGGACCGTTCATCCCCAGCTGTTATTCTATTTGTGAAAATAAAACGAAAAACCTACAGGTGGCAATGAAACTGTCTATAACTTTTCACATCACAATGTCATGAAATGACAACTTCATTGGTCATTTTATATGTGACTTCTGCAACAAAACATGACTCCGGGGTTGAATGAGGGTTAACATATTTGAAACCAAATTGATATCATAATAAGAAGCCTAAAGTGTTTAACAGATTTCATTGCCTTACATAGGACAACAGTTTGTTTTTCATCTACAACTCATTAATACACCAGCTCATTAATACACCAATCATTCGTTTTGGCTTTCTCACAAATTTGAATTTAGACAAATTTTTCCAACAAAGAGTTCATCGTTTTAATCATTACCAACAGCAAACACTCAGTTGGACAACGTGAGATCATAATTCACACACAGCTCTGTAGATCACAAGGATAATATTTGCCCTTCCCAATTACAGTGGTGCCTCGGTTAACGGGCGCTTCGTTTAGCGACGAAACCACATTGCAACGAACTTTTTGTGATCACAAAAGCGATCGCAAAACAATGTTCCCTATGGGGGAATTTCGCTTTGCGATGATTGGTTCCCTGCTTCGGGAACCGATCATCGCAAAGCAATGATTTTTTAACAGCTGATCGGCAGTTTCAAAATGGCCGCCCGCTGTTTTCTGGGACGGATTCCTCGCTGCACAGGCAGCGAAAATGGCCGCGCTATGGAGGATCTTCGCTGAACGGTGAGTTCCAAGCATTTCTATGGGCTTTTAAAAATCGTATTGCAACATTTTCGTTCTACAGTGATTTCACTGGAACGAATTAACATCGTGATGCGAGGCACCACTGTATTCTCAACTCACTGACACTGCATAAGTAAAGACATGAGAGAACAGATTTGTATATGATGTGGAGATGCCAAAACAAACAAACAAACAAAAAAACCCAGTATGTAAAACAATGTAATGCCTTTTTCCCTATTATGACCTGGACTGGTGGTAAGGGCTGTTCAAAGGTATGGATGGAACTTTTTTCCTTCCTCAGAGATGCTTGGACACTGAATATGGGAACATTACCATAATTGTATAGTTCACATAGAAAAATAAAATTCATTTTGTCTGTATCAAAGGAGAGTGCATCATTTGTGTTTGTTGTTTATACACTTACAGCATATATTAAACCTCTGTTCCAGACCAGCCTCCTTAGTTGAATTTTCAAAATAAAAATCTCAACAGCATGCAGTCTTTCATATAAGTTCATATGGAGCTAATATATAAATATTTTCTTGTACCTTGAAACATTTTCATGTACATATCTCTTCTTGAGTTCAGTAAACATTCCAAAGTATATATAAATATTCATATAAGTTTTCTGGATTGCAAAATAAATCATTATGAATAAATTGACAGCTATACTTAGAAAAATACAAAAATCTCCCAATGTTGCAACAACGTAGCATATTTCTTAAATCCATTATACCTGTGTGAACTCTGTAATGACTTTTAAGTTGCCTCTTCTGGCTGAAGTATTTTCCACACTGATCACAGGTAAAAGCTTTCTGACCTGACAGAAAATAAAAGGTTTCAGAAAACAGTGCAAGGAAACACGAAAGATATTACCGTATTTTTCGCTCCATAAGACGCACAGACTTTCCACCCCCCTGTTTTGTGGGAAAAAAGTGAGTCTTATGGTGCAAAAAATACAGTACTTTATAACTTAAAATAGGTTCATGAGTAATACTGAGAAATGAGTCATACTGAGAAATACGACAAATGTTAAGCAGAATTAGATTTTGATGGCATAAGATTCAAGGTACAAGGCTGTGCGTATTTACTGGAAAATGAATTCCACAAAGATCTTGGAAGCTGACTCCTATGTATTGGTACACAGTTATTCAACCTTTAGTGAGTAATTAGCATGGAATTTACTCTGTAAGATGCAGAGATCAGGACTTTACCTGTATGCAGGCTCATGTGTTCTAGGAGAGAATGCTTTGTCGTTAAAGCCTTACTGCAAACAGTACAGGTATATGGCCGTTCTCCAGTATGCATTCGTTCATGGACCTGGAGAGAGTGTTTCTGGGAAAAGCCTTTGCCACATTCACTGCACTTAAATGGTCGCTCCCCTAGAAACAAGGTACAAGTTCTGTGAAATAGCCAGAAATTTCAAGTGGGCAGAAAAATGTTTCAAATCATATAATTTGGAATAGAAACACCAACCTTTCTATAAAAAACTGCTAAGAAAAGTAAGAGAAACAAAGACAATAAACATAGTGATAATAATTCTAAGAAATCAAAACACCAAAATACTCTGCATATTCTGAATCCTGCTAAACATTCTATAATTAATATAGCTCAGTATTGGAACCACCATATTAACAATGGATGCCTAAGGCCAAAAAAAGTCATTTCTTTAAAGCCACCTTTCCAAATGTGGCTGAGGATTTCCTGGTTTATAGCACACAGCTATATAATTATTTGGCAAGTAGGTTCTAGAAAAGCAGGCTGGATAATTCAGTTGCGTGGGTATGGCTGGGAGTTTGATTCCCCACTATGCCTCCTGGGAAAAGAGCCCAACTGTGTGGGAATGAGCAAGTCACACAATCCCAGGGGTGTGCCAGAAGAAGGGAATAGTAAACCACTTCTGCATATTCTCTACCTAGAAAATCCTGGACAGGGTTACTGTAATATGGAATCAACTTGATGGCACACTATTATTATTAATTACCATATTTTTCGCACCATAAGACACACTTTCCCCCCACAAAACGGGGGTGGAAAGTCTGTGCGTCTTATGGAGTGAAGAAAACAGATTATATTTTCCTGTTTTCTTCTCCTAAAAAATTGGTGCGTCTTATGGAAAGGTGCGTCTTATGGAGCGAAAAATACGGTATTTATTTATTTATTTATTATTACTATTACTATTACTATTACTATTACTATTATTACTATTACTATTACTATTATTATTATAGTTCTAAAGTACAAGATTATTATATAAAATCAAACTGTGTTTAGACAGATGTACTCTGGCCAACATTCCCTCTCATTTTCTGCCGAGGCTGGGTCTGGGCCCTGCCCCATGTGTGAGGGGTCCTGACTGCGACCAGAATCAAGATGACAACACTGTCTGAGAGTGCATGACATTGATGCAGCGCTGCACTGTCACACATTAACGCAGCTTAGAGGGAACACTGATTTTAACTTATGCAACTATCTCATGTAACTGTAAATCTCCAGAAACAGATTTCTGAATGCAGACTTTATAGATCCAAGGGTCACTTTTCAAACTGTGCATGCAGATGTTCATTGGTATAAAATGGCCTGTGATATCACCTTGGCTCACTTGGTTTCTTTAAAGAAAAACCTATACAGTAGGACCACAGTATTCATGAGGGATCAGTTCCAAGTGCTCCCCCACAGATGATGAAAAGTTGAGCATAGCAAACCCCATATATATAGCATTGTTTCTGGTACTCTTTTGTGGCCAGTTCTGGTAATATGCCCTTGAAATGCATATTTATTGGGGTGGGTGAGTTATTTAATATTTTCAGGCAGCAGATAAGTGAAACCATGGTACTGATCTCACAGATACAGCAATCCTGTTGTATACAATTACTTGCTACCATGAAAAATGCATGTACATTTTGTTTACAATTAAGTTTTAAAGACCTGCAAAAATTTTTGAAACATACTATGAATTGCAAAAGGAGATTTCAATTTCTATTAATCAAATTAACATTAACTTTCAATTTCAATTTAATTTTCAATTGTAAAATGTACAATTGGATATTTTTGTTTAAATTGGATGTATTTCATTAATTTGATAAAAAATTTAATTATTTCATTTACTCTGTAATTTTATTCATTTTATTACATGTATGCAATTTATTTTACATAAATCTTCCTCTGTAATTACAAAGTTAAGAATTATATTTTAAAAATCAGCTAAAATATTGCAAGAAAAAAAGTGTCACAGTCAGAAAACAAGTTGCACATACTATTTTACTACAGGATTTAATTAAATAAAATAATCTTCAGGAGACTTACCTGTGTGACTTCTTCGATGAATAGCTAAAAAATGATTATATTTAAATAGCTTCCCACAGTCTTTGCACTGAACTGAGCCAGTACGTTTTCTTCTCCCATCAGTCCTCTTTTTCAGTCCACTATCCTCTTCATCACCAGTAAGTTTATAATCTCTTAATTTGATAGACCGTCGTATCCTACGCTTGCTGTAACGACTCTGGTTAGTCTGTGTACTCTGGCATTGAGGATCACAGTTCTCATCCTTCTCAGTGGAAACACTCCCCACAGCATCAGAACTACAAATGTCCTCTGCTTCTCCCGCTTCTCTGTTTACTGGAATCAGCTCATTGGAATTTCTATCTTCCACCACAGCATCATTCTTCATAAAATTTTGCTTATTTTGAACAGAATTATTTTCTCTTAGCTGCACATCTTCAGCAGAAGACATCCCCAGCTTTTCTTCCTGGATGTTCTTAACTTTTCTTGGTCTTCCACGTTTTCGCTTTGGTGGATCTTCACTTTTTTGGTTGTTTAGCAATGGAGCCATTGTGGTTCCATCATCAGGAATGGCAGATAATGTACTGTTCAAACTACAGTTCTTCTGCTGATCAGTGTATGCTTTTACTAAGTCATTCACTTTGAGAAGTTGAGCAGTAGCTAAAATTTGCTCTGCATTTTTTTCACTCACTTGCAGATAACCTGTGTAGATAAATTCCAGGAGTGCACCAAAAGCCTCTGCCACCATGCCTTCCAGCATGTAGATTGACTGGCCAATCTCTCCCTCATCACCGAACATCATTGAAAAATACTCACTGCTGGCAGCAAGCAAAGCTTTGTGTGCTCTGAAATGAACATTTTCTACAATTAAAGTGATATCACACAAAAAATCCTTTTTCCTCTGCTCTTCAAAGTTGGTAAGAATAGTATCTCTGTGAACTTTTGAATGGATGACTATAAGCTTCTCAGAAGCATCAGGCACCACTTCATCCATTTTTGCTGGAAAAAAAGAACAGAAGAGGTAGAAACACACAGGCTGCAATTCAAACAGATGCTGTATAAATTTCGCCATGTACATTGGGCATCAGTGTTCCTCCAGGGAACTACCCCAACCTTTAGAAATTGGTGGGAATTTTTAAAGCATGCAGCTATTCAGGGGAAGAAAGGAATTACAGTAAATCCCCTGTTTTTATCTACTCAGATTATTTTCTAATAGTTTCTTTTCTAACAGTTTCTGTGCAATAACAAAAGTCTGAAAAGGTTAGAAATTGACATATTGTGTAGGTAACATTATTTATTTCATTATTCTAAAAAGAGAACCTGTTCCAGTTGGAAAGGTTCACGATTAAAAGTTAATGGATTAATATTTATGGCAATTTCTCACTTATGAAATAAAAGTAAAGGAAAACTTAAATCACTAAGGGTGCATAAATGAATCAATTCCTTTCCCTCTGATAAAGTGGACATTTCTCAAATGAAACAAGATGTTCATTCAGTTGCCAGACTTTAAAGCAGGGGTCTCAAACTCAGTTTACCTGGGGGCCGCTGGAGGCAGAGACTGGATGAGGCTGAGCCACATCAGATTTTCCGCCAAGCGGAGCAAGAGCCCGAGGAAGCCACCCAGGAATTTCCTTAGCCTAGCTGGGGCTCCAAGCAGGAAGAGAAAGAGAAGCGCACGAGCCCTTGTCGCTGGCCATGTACCCCTCCGGCTCCTTCCTCACTACCAGCAGCAGCAGCAGCAGGATGAAGAAGCGGAGAAGGGAGGGAGCGCTGGCGACCACCTAGCAGGGGGGAGGAGGGCATGACATAACGTTTAAAAAAACCCTCACAGAATTCACCTTGCCAAAGGAGAAAAGCCCCCATCAAGAGAAGCGCACGAGCCCTCGTCGCTGGCCATGTACCCCTCCGGCTTCTTCCTCACTACCAGCAGCAGGAGCAGCAGGATGAAGAAGCGGAGAAGGGAGGGAGCGCTGGCGACCACCTAGCAGGGGGGAGGAGGGCATGACATAACGTTTAAAAAAACCCTCACAGAATTCACCTTGCCAAAGGAGAAAAGCCCCCATCAGTACCCGCAGAATTAAACAGAACAGGACAGGCCCCCCGCAGGTGCACGCACACAAACACACACAGAGTTTTGGCAACCTTCCTCGGAGCCCCCCCTCAAAAAAAGGCGCACTCAGCAGCAGCAATTACCCCCACCACGACAGAGGAGCAAACTTTGCGAGGTGAGCCCAGGCAGCCTCCAGAGCCGAGGTGGCTGAAGCAGGATGAAGAGGAGGAGGAGGAAGCACTGCTGGGTGCGAGGGTGGCTGCTAGCCAGGCTGGTGCTGGGGGTGGCAAGAGAGAAAGAGAGCCAGAAAGCCGCTTCCCTGGAATAGGTGACGGCAGCTGCTGTTGGCAGCTTGGAAGTGCTCTTCGAGGACAGGCCGGGAGCGAATGCTCGGCAGCAGCTCGGGTGCTCCGGGGGAAAGGGCCAGCAGCGTACCTCACTTGCCAGCTCTCTCCCAAGACAGCACCTCTTGCACCCTCCATCCAGGCAGGCTGCAGTTCTGGATGGAGGGTACAAGAGGTGCTGTCTTGGGAGAGAGCCGGCAAGTGAGGCAAGGCTTTTTAAAAATTCTTGAGAGCAGAGGACGTGTGGGTTATTTCGGGGGGGGCAGGCAAGATGGGGGCCACAAACTATCATCTGGCGGGCTGCAAATGGCCCCTGGGCCGCATGTTTGAGACCCCTGCTTTAAAGTATAAATACAATAATTACCAAGGAAACTGTCCAGATTGGCCAAATACTGCATAATTTCCAATGGAGGACTACGATATTCATCAATCACATTATAAAAATCACCTTTCAAGATCCACCCAAGTCAATGTCTTTATTAGGAGGCAGTCAGAAACACACAAGCAGAGCATAATGGTGAAACAATCTCATTTTCCCCCCAGTATCTATATCTGTAAATGGAGCCTTAATTTTGATGTTAGAGCTGACAGCTATTGACTCATCTGTCTTCTGTAAATTTGCCTGTACCTTGAATACACAACTTTCTGGCATTCAAAATAAGAAATTCTTATCTCGCAAAATATGTTTTTGTGACATTAACACCATTGGTATTATATGTGAGAATATGAACAATGTAAGCAGTAATGTAAACCTGTGAGGTATGACAGTTTGCTATGAAAAACACAGCAAATGATACGTATATGGCATAGCAAGGCCCAACTTTATACTATGGTGTGTAATTTACTTGGAATATATATTGAAACATCCACTATCACTCAAGAGAACTGGTCTTAATAAATTATTTTTCAGACCACTACAGACCTATAATCTTAGTGAAAGCCAGATTGTTTTCTTTCCCAGCATTTTGACAGATTTAGAATACAGCAAACTTTATTCTACCAACATGAATTTGACCCAACTCCAGGAGGCAGTGGAAGACAGGAGGCCCTGGCATGCTCTGGTCCATGGGGTCACAAAGAGTCGGACACGACTTAACGACTAAACAACAAATTTTATTCAGATGCTGTCCATCCCACAGTGAGGTGCCTTTCATCTCCAGTTATTTGTATGTATCATCACTGGGGAAATGAAGATTATTTTTTTCCTGACAGAGTTGCATACACTCAGAATGAACCACTTGATGTTACAGCATGATATTCTAGCATGAAGAAGCCAGAATACAGTATGTTATAGCTCCTTCATAATTAATGTCAGTTGGGAATTCGATGTCGGACTTCACAAGTTAGGGCAGTTTTTATTCTACCATTTTGTTAGTGATTGAAAAGTTAAAAACAAAATTCTTTCCTAGAATGAAAAATTTCCCAGACTTTTAAAAAAGAGTTTGTAGTCCTAGAACGAGCTGGAATTTTCAGCATGCATACATTACTGAAACAGCGACGTCTACGCTGGCTTGGGCACGTTGTGAGAATGGCTGATGGTCGGATTCCAAAGGATCTCCTATATGGAGAATTAGTGCAGGGAAATCGCCCCAGAGGGAGACCACAGCTGCGATACAAGGATATCTGCAAGCGGGATCTGAAGGCCTTAGGAATAGACCTCAACAGATGGGAAACTCTGACATCTGATCGTTCAGCCTGGAGGCAGGCAGTGCATCACGGCCTCTCCCAATTTGAAGAGACCCTTGTCCAGCAGGCCGAGGCAAAGAGGAAGTCACAAAGGAAGCAAAACCAGGGAGCTGGACAGGGGACATTCACAAGTTAGGGCACTTTTTATTCTACCATTTTGTTAGTGATTGAAAAGTTAAAAACAAAATTCTTTCCTAGAATGAGAAATTTCCCAGACTTTTAAAAAAGAGTTTATTGTTAGTAAAATCTTGATGTTGATGCCATGTACAACTTATAGAAATCTTAATACAGCTTTCATGAGAAGTTTATGTGGAAACCCTGTGAGTTTCCACAGCCAAACAGGGATTCAAACCCAGGTCTCCTGAGCCCTAATCCCACACTCTGTCCATTATGGCACACTTGACTCTCAGTAAAAACATAGACGGGAGCAATCACAAAACAGGCAAAAGGAAGGCATTAGCAAGTCAGTCTCTAACATTTATCCTCATCTAATCAGACTCATTTGCAATTTGGGTCCTTTCGAGGAGAAAGGTAGGGTAAAAATATTTTAGATAACTTTAAATAAAAGAAAAAAAGTTCAGAGTCAGAAAATTAGGGGGAAGTAAATAAAGAATTAAGAAGAAAGAGCATGGAAAGAGGAAATATGTGAGGAGGCGAAAAAGGCCAACGTCGCCAGCTCCTCCTCCCCCCCCTTCTCTCCCCCTTGGGTCGGGTGGCTGTGCCGTGAAGGGCTGCGAACCAAGCAGAAATTCAACAGGTGACCCTTCCCATATCACTGCATCTCAGGTAGACACCAGTGACCCGAGGCTTTTCCTGCGCAACCTCTGCTTCCTGAGCAGCTTCTGAAGCCAGTCTTGGGCCAGGCGCCCATCCCTGAGCAGAGGCTGTCAGGTGGGGGGCAAGGCAAACGGAGACCCCCCCTCCCCCGCCCGGGAAGGAGCTGGGAGACCAGAGGAGCCTCTTTGCCGTTCCTTCGGCCCTCTTCTCCTGACAGAGTTCAGCGAAGGGGAAAGAAGGGCCTTCTTTGTGGGGGGGGCACTGAGGTCTCCTTTAGGTTGGGGGCAGGAAGGGAAGGGAGCCTTACCTCACGTAAGCAACGTCCCGTCCCGAAGCCCAGAGGGTTTGAGGCCATTCAACGCGCAGCCCGAAAACAACAGCCGCGCACGCCGGACGTGACGTCACAAGGATGAGGAAGTGGATCAAAATAAGGGGACGACGCGGAAGTGGGCGGGACGCGATGGGAAGCCGTCTATTGTTGGGGAATGCCGGGCATAAGAAAGAGGGGCGGGGAAGACCGGCACGGTCCGATCTCCTCAGGGCTGAACACCTATGCTCGGGTTCTTACCGGGGGTAGGCCCCTGCCTGGCTCACATCCTCGGTGGGGGCAGCCCTTGGGAGATCCCTGGGCCTGCTGGTGGGAAGGTTCATGGGCCTGGGTCACCATTCTTCCCCGGGGCTGAAGGGGGCAGAGGGCCCCGTGCTCGCTTGCCGCAACCCGCAGGTTCTTTGGCGGTTGCAAGGCCGCGCCTTCCGTTGACGGCTTTGCTTTGCCACCAGGAAAGGCACGGCGGCTAAGGAGGGTGGAAACGGCCGAGAACAAAAGGGCCGGAGGGACTTGTTGGACCCCAAGCGAGCGCTGTCTTGCCAATCAAGCACATGGAAGCAGATGGTTTCCCCTCTTCTCGCTCTGGTGTGCTTTGCCCACAGTGGAATAATGCGTGCAACTTAAACCCCGGTCCAGCCCTCTGTAGAGGAGCCCTGGCGAACAGTATGAGCGACACCTCAGTTTCACAGGTGGTAGCTCTGCAGCTCTTTCTCAAATCAGACCTTTCCCACAAGCGCTGGCAAGCCAAGAGGATTTGCTTCCTCCACCCTGTCAGCCATAGGTCTGCAGCAGACATTCAGAGCTCCCAAGAATGGATACCAGAGTTTCATAGTTCAGTCTCTGTTTTCTAGCATTTTACCTCTAGGAAGGCTGGGAGTCATGCCCAGACTTCTCGGGAGGACCGTAGACAACTAGCCAATGCTCAACCAGCATGCTCCGCCCCCGTTTTGGAAAGTTGAGCCACAAAACATGGTCTAATTTTCAGCTGCTTGCCATTCCTAGAATATCTCCACTGGAGATTATGTGGATGTAGCGTTCACCCTTATGTTAAGTAGTCAAGCATATTCATGTTGCAGGCTAATATTGATAAGAGGCGGACCTGAGAGATATGTAATAAAGAGGCAGAGTCAGAGGAGAGATCAGAGTGGAGAGATAGAGTGTGGTACAGTATTTGGGACATCTGAGGTGTGATTAGAGTGAAGAGTGAATGAGAACTGTGATAACCAATAGAAGGTTGAGACTGATGATAAACCTGTAGAAGTTACTTGTGATTAATAATCAAACATCTGTAATCTAAACAAGTTTTATTTAAAAGACAATGAAGTTTGGACCTTCATCTTCATCCTTCCATAAGTAATGTTGATTTAGTGATCAGCTGGTGGCAGTTAGTATAAATGCATTTTGTTTTTTAACTTGTTTTAACTGATGTAAGCTGCCCCGAGTAGACGTCTAGAGGGGTGGGGTAAAAATTGAATAAATAAATAAATACAATAAGACCCTCAAGAAGGCTGACTGCCGAAGAACTGATGCTTTTGAATTGTGGTGCTGGAGCAGACTCTTAAGAGTCCCCTGGACTGCAAGGAGAACAAACCTATCAATTCTGAAGGACAGAACCCGAGTGCTCACTGGAAGGACAGATCATTAAGTTGAGGATCCAATACTTTGGCCATCTCATGAGAAGAGAAGACTCCCTGGAATAGATCCTGATGTTGGGAAAGTGTGAAGGCAAGAGAAGAGGATGACAGAGGATGAGAGGATTGGACAGTGTCATTGAAGCTACCAACATGTATTTGACCCAACTCCGGGAGGCAGTGGACGACAGGAGGGCCTGGCGTGCTCTGGTCCATGGGGTCACGAAGAGTCAGACACGACTTAACGACTAAACAATGATGATCTGTAGGCTGATATGTAATGGCTGTCTGTCCCTCTCTGTTAACAGAACTGAGGAGTACACTTTTCTTTTATTCCTTAAATGTGCATTCACATGCAATTGCTGAGCAGATCTGTTGTTGCAAGACTGACTATAATGCTTTTAAGATATTCACAGTAAAACAATGAATCATAACTGTTTAGAAACTACAAAAAAAACAATGCTGTTTTATTTCAAGTAAATTTAAGATATACTTCAGCTAATGAGGAAAAAACATTAAAACCACTAATTGGTGGTCAAAAGTATTTATCAAAAACTATCATAATAAAATGGATTGAAATAAAAATGCATTAAAACTTTAACAGCAATAAAGAACATTGTTAGGTTGGAATTTTTTCAGTGACACTTTAAAACAGTAACAAACAATAAAACTATAATCTTACAGACCTTGGAACCATATCCTTCCCAGAGATTATAGATTAGATTGGAAATTCCAGCATTGGTGACAGAGCTCCGATTCTGGAAAGGGAAGATCGAGTCTTGATTCATCCATCCAGCACATCATTCCACATAATCAGAGAAAAGAAATGGGGAGATTGGGGATTTGGGAGCATAATGTAGGCAAAATAGGAGAGACTCTGAATATGTAGTATCCCAAACTATCTGTGACATCCCCAGTCCAAGGAAATGTTCATACTAAGCTCAGAATTGTTCTCAGTGCTTCAAAACCAGACAGGAATGACAAGTGTTGCTTCTTCCACCAGGAGCCTAGCAGAGTTTACGAAATGTCAGAATGCTTTGACCTCATCACAGAATGCCTTTTTAGGGTATTCATTGAGGACTGGAAGACTGTGGTAGACGTTTGCCCCACTTGTACATACATTTACTTAAAATTAAGATTGAACACAGGTTACTTCCAATGAAAGGTGCTTATGATTCAATGGAATCTTTCAAGTAGCTGTGTAAATTATTAGTGCTAGATCTGTAAACTGCATTTTGCAAATTGTTGCATTAACAGTTGTGGAACTTTAGTACAGGTTTGTGCATGTAGAGTGTTAGAAGCCTAAACATCAGTTTGAACCACTGTCCTTTGGAAGGCAGAACCCACAAATATGAACTTAGATGAATGTGTGACATTTTTCATTGTCTGTAATTCTAAGTTACTGAGAGGCTGGGTCCACATCTTTGAGAGACAGAAAGGTCCGTAATTTGTGATCAAAGTCAATAGGCCGATTTTGAGGTTCCTTGTACTTTTGTGTCATTTTGGTTCCCAGATATGGGATAAGTTCACAGTGATCTATGAACCGATCCAATTTCCTCTTGTACTTCTTTCGCACATAGTCAGAGCTCCTGGGGTTATATGCTGTAAGAAATAAAATTACACCTATTACCTCATGCGACATGTACTTTCTAATTCATACTGCTCTTCTCAAGATGCCTGAAGACACATTGTAAAATGACATATGCAGATAGTATGCATAATACCTACAAGATTTTCACAACAGATGTATATGGCCCTGTTGATAATACTGCTGAAGCTGCCATTCTGTAAATGTAGATTTTTTTTGCTGCAATGTTTTGCTTATAATGTTCTATTACTGGAGTCCTAGACTACGGCATATAGAATTTTGGTACAGTCTGTCTCATCATACAAAGCAGGGGAAGAGAGTGCAGTTTAAAGAATCAAGGGGTTGCTAAATCTCCCTTGCACACAGCATTTTCCTTCTTTAGCCCTGACCCCTCAAGAATGTTCCTTTCAACTGGTATCATTATTGGTACTGCAATCCAAGTGTCAGAAGAGAGCCTGGAGCAGCACATGGAAGGGTTAAAAGTGCTATGCAGTGGACTGAGTATGAATGTGTTTTGTTCTTTTATTATTGTATCTCATCACTACCTTGCACATGAATGGGAGTGATCCATGTTGCAAGACATATATCATGGCCCTCATACTGTATTAAAAAAGTACGCTACACTCATAGACCAATATATTATGATAAAAATAGAATAAAAGACATTGAAGTTATGGTGGATCTTCCAGACAGAATTTAATTCAGGAAGGGTCAATTGGTTTCTGGACTTTAAACAAATTATTTATAAAACAACATGATCAAGAGATTTTCCTTCCAATTCTACAAAAACAAAACTGGTCATTAAGCAGAATCCTATTACATTGTCCAATTAAGAATAGAGGACAAAAGATTAAAATTAGGGAGCATACATACTCCTCATGAATTTTCAAATAGTATCCACAAGAATGTAAAATTTCCAAATAATTTCATTATTTAAATTCTTTCCTCTGCTTTCATTTCTCTTTATTCAACCTTTGACCTAGTTCCACAGGAACGATGATGGTCCAAATTAAGTATACAGATAAATAATTATTTCTTGTCAGTTGCTATACAAAAATTTCTAATCAAGCCAGATGTGGCAAGAAAATCAGCTCTCAAGCCTGAATCTTACCACCAGGGATGTCATGCATCACTGTATTTTAGCCCGTTTCCTATTTATAATTTAAAGACCTGGCCCTGACCTTAATGCAGTTGAGTCCCAGATGCTAGAAATGTAACTTTTTTAAAATTAGGAATGACAGTATTTACTCACATGTTTACTTTTTAAAAATGTATGAAAATAAAATTGGTGACCATGCATAAGGAAACTATTTATTTATTTATTTATTTATTTAACTTATATGCCGCCCACACTACTCAAAGGTAGTGTTTATTTTATTTGTTGTTGTGTACTGTCAATTTGGAACTGACTTATAGTGATCCTAATAGGGCTTTCATGGTGAGTGAGATATTTAAGGAGTGGTTTTACCAGTTCTATACCCGAAGGGAGTTTCCATGGATGAGCAGGGACTTGAACCCAGGCCTCCCAAATCATAGTCTGCCATTCTATCCATTACAACTTTTAAAATTTAGTTCATTCATATTATAGAACAAATGTTACTGTACCTTTTAAATGATAGGCTATGAACAGCAGAGCAGTCTTTTTCACACTGAGAAATGGAAATTTTGGTTTTAAACAACCTACTTCATTCATTGCTTTTATCAGAGCTGTCGCCACACCCTAAAGCCATAAAAATATTAATGTTAATCAATATAATCACACTATTCAAAATCACATTTTTTTATTTTCACTAATCACTGTGTTGCTGTAATTCATTCGTTTTAGAGTGTGATGTTATCCCATCTGAAACACTTCCTATACCTTCCACTTTTGAATCACTTCCAAGTTTGATAAACATTTCCATACTTTATCCATTTCACATCTTGAACACCCCCCGTTTCCTGGAGCTATGAAAAGTTGCTGTTCCTTCTCAAACTGAAGACTATGCAAAGACATACAGAAAAAAATTAAATGGAAAGATGGATGGGCAGACAATGGCTTAACATTGTATAATAATAATTGTGAGCCATCAAGTCAATTTTGATTTATGGCGACCCTTTTCAAGGTTTTCTGGGTAGAGAATACTAAGAAGTGGTTTACCACTTCCTTCTTCTGAAAGCATCCTGGGACTGTGCAGCTTGCTCAATACCATACAGGCTGGCTCTCCTGAGATGCAAGTGGAAAACTGAACTGCCAACCTCTGGCTCTGCAGCCAGATGACTATCTCACTGAACTATCCAGCCACCTGCTGCCATTGTATTGGCTTTTAAAAATATGGGCAAATTTCAGTTCATAACATTGACATTGCCCTTTTGATCTTCTTTTTGCGGTTTTAAGGCAAACTATAGAAACCTTATCTCTTCAGGTTCATTTGATTTCTCCCTCTTCCTACTGTTTGGTCACATTTTCAAAGTTCTGTTTATCACTATGTACTGTATTTGAATTTGCTTCACACCTTGGTGCACTTTGATTAGATTCAGTAACACATATATGCTTTGCCATCTCTCATTTTTAATCAGAAATGAATTTACCTTACTATAAAAATATGGATTACCTTCTGATGAGACTAAACTAAAATACACTGGCCAGAATACTATCACATAATTCTACCTGTGCAACTGTTGGCATAAATGTCAGTGGGGAATTGCCTCAAGTTAAGAAGCCAGGGTAGGCATTTGCTGTCATGTGCTAAAAGTATGTGAAAATAAATACCAACATCTATTTTTAAAATTTGTGGCAGTTCACCACTGAAATTCATACCAATGGAGTTATATAGTCAAGTGTAATTTTTTCTAATTACTGTTTTGGTAATTAAAAGGTAATCCTAAGCATGTGTACTTGGCAGCAAGTCTATGACGTTAGTGTGCACTGCTCTCAGGTAAGCATGTATAAGAGTAGAATCATAAACATTTGAAAGCACCATTCTAGAGCCATATTTATTTGTTCACATGATGTAGAGAAGGCATCAGCCGTATTTAAAACCCTTAATGAAATAAAATAAGCTTGAAAAATGAACTCAAGGAAAAAGGAGCCGTCTGAGTCATATTCATTCTCACTATATTAATGCAGCCAGAAGCAATTTCAATATTAAGAATTAGAAGTTTTGAGTGAACTAACTGGGGACCAATATTGCCCATGCGGCAACAATATGCCCATTTGAATCACCTGGATTCCCCAAATAAATCAAATTTAATCTGAGCAAAATGAATAAGAGTAGTACAGTAACCTGTTCAAGGTATCCCATCAGGGGAAGAGCCGTCAGCATTATTGGTTCTTTCATTGGGGGAAGTTTATGTGGAAGTTTCTGATCCCAGTATTTTTCTGGTAGCCTAAGAAAACAGACATCACATATTTGCAAAAGATATGATAAACACAAACCATTAAGGTCTGTATCAATCCCCATTCCAATGACTGTTAAATGTCCTTTAATGACCATTGTTGAGGTTATCATCATGTTGGAAACTTGCCCATTTTATATACATTTTACACTTCAGAAACACTCCTTGCTGTGCATTTGTCTAAATGTTTGCCTGCTGAAATGACACTCCATGCACCCGAAGAGCTGCGTGCCATCTTATGTCCTTAAGGTGCCACTAGACTCCTTGTTTTTTTATAAATCCAAAGGAAAATGTAAAAGAAGAATTACCTCATAAACTTTTGAAGTTTCTCTTCACTTTCAAAGATATATAGCTTTTTGCAATAAAGTACAGCATATTCAGTGTCACCAGGTATCAGTGCTTCATACCTAAAGAGACAATGAAACAGATTGTTTATTATTACCATGATCATAATATTTGTATTATTCATGCTCCTTCAAAGTGCTCCAGGAAATGGCTCTTTGCACATCCTTTCCCCCCCCAGTTATTTATTTCTAAAGAATGAAGAGACAATCGACCATATTGCAAATAGTAAATACAAAGCTATTCCCCACATTTCTCCAACTCATATATATACCATTCCCTGTCACTATTTAAAGAAATATTGACCAACAATCTAAATTTCTTTTCAAACCACATGTCTCAAAGTCTATTTTGTTGGCATATTTTAATAATGGCTTCCAATTTTCTGTGAATTTACTAACGGCTTATTTCTCCTCTATGTAATCTAACTTTATTGGTCGTTTTTTCCATCAGCAATGTATGCCATATTTTTCTTGTGAATGCTTGCAATAAGAGATCCTGGGCTTTTTTCCAATTTTTAGCTATTTCAGATCTTGTGGTGCCTATAAGATTTCCAACTAATTTTTTATATTGTAGTTTCTCGTTTCCCCCCGTGAATAATGAAAATAACATTAATGTTTCATTAATATCTTTTTTTTGATTAGTCAGTGTTTCTATCCATCTAACTACTTCCTGCCAAAAAGTTTCTATTTTGGGACAAGAGATCCACATACGTTCCAGAGTTCCTTTTTGTCCACAGTTCCTCCAACATTTATCGGATATATCTTTATTAATTCTATGTAGTTTTGTAGGGTATAGATGCCACCGATGCACTACCTTTAGAACCGTTTCTTTTGCATTTGCTGATATAGATTTATATGGGTATTTTTTCCAGATTCCTGTCCAAATTTCCTCAGGTATATTAATATTTAAATTTGTTTCCCCACTGTTTTAGATCCTCCACCTTTTCCATATTCTTTCTCAATAATGCATTTATATATTAGTGAGGTTAGTCCTCTTTTTTTATTTTTAACTTTTTGTATGCAATCTTGTTCAAATTCAATTAATGTTCTTAGAAAGCCAGTTTTTGTTGCGAGCAGCAAAACTCCTTATTTGTTTTATTTGTAGCCAATT